GGAGCTCTGAACCAGGCCGCACCCCAGCCCCAGCCACGCGCCATGGAGCGTCATCTGACCCGAGGGCCGCTGAGGACCTGCTGGGAGCGGCCGGATCTGCAGCCCCGAGGGGGTTAAGTAAGACTCAAGCGCCTGGGGCTGCTGCCCCTGGAGGGAGGGGACCCACGGGCCGGTCTGCCCGCATTCCGGGGCTAACCAGCCTAGGGGTGCAGAGCAGAGGAGGGAGCCCCAGAACCCCTCATCCTCCCAAGGCAGGGGGCGCCCCCAGACTGGCTCTGGAGACTCAGGCTGACCTACTGACACATGGCCCCCAGCAAGTTCCCACCTTTAACCCCAACTAGTGCGTAAAACCAGTCAGGGCTCTTTCACAAGAGCTTCTTCCTCCGACCCAGGCCCCAGCCACTCCTCAGTAGCGATAAGACTATCGAGGCCTAGAGCTGAACAGACACCAAGAGGGTGAGATAAACGCGGGGAGTGGTGGGGCGGGGAGGACTCTGAGCCGTTCCCTCCTCCCAGGCTCTAAGCCACTAGCTGTTGGAGCTTGCACCGGGGAGGGGGTTTCTGAGCCACGGACTGCTCAGTGGCTGAGCTGCCCAGCCAGGCTGCTTAGCTGTTCTTGGGCCTTGGTTTTCTTGTCGGTCAGATGGGAATTCCACCCCTTAACTCAGAGGAATAAGGATTACAAGAGAAAATGGAGATACAGTGCTTGCTTAGCACCGTCCTGGAACAGAGCACACGCTCAGGACTTGGGAGCTGCAAAGCAGCCCGGAGCTCCCTGCCAGAGAGGTGGTTAACCCTGGAGGGGAGAGAGGCGGCCTTCCCAACCCATCCCACTCCTGGGGCAAAGGCTGCTGCGCGGATCCTGGGTCAGTAGTTAGGGGCACCATTCTGGGGAAACCAAAGTCACCCTGGAGAAGCATCCCAACAGGTCTCCAGGATGGAACAGGTGAATGTGGCCCCAGCCACTCCTCAGTAGCGATAAGACTATCGAGGCCTAGAGCTGAACAGACACCAAGAGGGTGAGATAAACGCGGGGAGTGGTGGGGCGGGGAGGACTCTGAGCCATTCCCTCCTCCCAGGCTCTAAGCCACTAGCTGTTGGAGCTTGCACCGGGGAGGGGGTTTCTGAGCCACACCGACTGCTCAGTGGCTGAGCTGCCCAGCCAGGCTGCTTAGCTGTTCTTGGGCCTTGGTTTTCTTGTCGGTCAGATGGGAATTCCACCCCTTAACTCAGAGGAATAAGGATTACAAGAGAAAATGGAGATACAGTGCTTGCTTAGCACCGTCCTGGAACAGAGCACACGCTCAGGACTTGGGAGCTGCAAAGCAGCCCGGAGCTCCCTGCCAGAGAGGTGGTTAACCCTGGAGGGGAGAGAGGCGGCCTTCCCAACCCATCCCACTCCTGGGGCAAAGGCTGCTGCGCGGATCCTGGGTCAGTAGTTAGGGGCACCATTCTGGGGAAACCAAAGTCACCCTGGAGAAGCATCCCAACAGGTCTCCAGGATGGAACAGGTGAATGTGGGCGCCATCGGGTACCAGAGCCCACACTGCCACACCTGCCCCCGTGCTGGGCCCCTCCACACTTCTCCGCTCGGCAGCCCCAGGCAGAACTAGAAGAGACAGGGGCCATCAGGAAGACACCACCTCACAGGCTAGGAGAGGCCCGCAGGACAAGACACACCAACACTCGGTCATGGGCCAGTTTAAGTCAGCGCTCAGCGCCCGGGCGGGCAGTTCCTAGGAGCTGACAGCGGAGGGAAGGAGCAGCAACAGCGCCCTGAGAGCTGCCGCACAGGCAGAGGGGCTGCCAGCGCACAAGGGCCCTCCCAGCGGCCAGGGCCAGCTGTACGTCCCTGCCTTTTAATATGAGACCGGACTCAGAGGCGGCATCAGCTCAGCACGTCCCTTCCCCACAGGTCCTGGAGAGGCCCAGCCTTATGGCCTACCTTGTGGGCCCCAGGAGGTTTGGGGTCCCCCTGCTGAACACCTCCTGCGGCTGCCTGAGCTCAGGGACAGCAGCAGTGAGCAGGCTGGGCCTTCCGAGGGAAGGAGCTATGTAAACAGCAGGCCCAGCGCCTGCTGATGGCCTCCTCTCGGCCCCTTTCCTGAAACTCTTCCAGATTAGGAAGGAGAGCAGAACAAAAAGGCAGGTCTCCCCTCCCCCAGCCCTGAGCACTCAGGGAGAGCAGAGGTAACCCAATCCGCAGCGGTGGGGTACTTTTGCTCAGTGAGTAACTCCCCAGGAATGGGGAGCTGGTATATTTATCCTGATAACTGTCCTGGGAGGGAAAGACGGATCTGTGACCGGTAGGGCCAATCCACAATTAGGCCAGATCTGCTCTCCCCCACCCAGCCCGGGGACCCAGGGCCTGGACACTGACTAGGAACTCAATCTGCTGGTGAGGCCTGCCCTGCCAATCTGTCTCCCCTCCAAGAATTCAGCTCTAGAGAGCAGGGGCCTTGCCTTGTCTTGCTCCATGCCACATCCCCAGCAGCTAGAGTGAATGGCGGGCTGACAGGGACCGTGAGGAGAAGACGGGAAGGAGCAATGAGCTGGCAAACAGCCAGTGCGAGCCACAGCCAGGAGGTCCCGCCTGCTGGGTGCCTGTCAACAGGTCGCACCACCCTCTGGGTCCTTCTTCATCTGTAAAATGGGCAGAACCCAGTGTGTCCCCACAGCTGGTAGCAAGTTCTGGGGAGGAGATCATATAATTTCGGGTGACATTTACAGGGGTGGGCAACAGTAGGTTTACAGCTGTAATACAATAATTAATCAAGAATAAACTCTGTGTTTCCTATTCTCACAACTATAAACCTACTTTTGCCAACCCCTGGAGACAGCACCTTTGAGCTCTTCAGAGTTTGTCTATATCCAAGACATTGCTGCCCCAGACAGAAACTGCTCTCCCTTGGGACTGGGTAAGAACCGATCAATACTGTCGTGTCATCTAATATTTAATAACCAGGCCTGGAGGGTATGAAGACTCAGCCACCATTCTCCTTGGCTGACTCATGCCTCACTCACCAGGACCTGCCATTCTACTCTCACCGCCCGGAGGAAGTGTGGGCTGGGGTGACACACCGGAAACAGGGGAAGGTGTCTTCCAATCTGCTGCCAGGAGAGGTGGGGTGGCCACGGGAGGTGCTGCCATTGCTGAGGAGCCCTTCCCGGCAGGGCTGCCGCGAGGTGGGTGTGCCAGCAAGCTGGGTTTCTTTATTGGGTGCCTGGCTTGTGCCCAAGGTCACAGAGCACAAGTAACCAGAGGCTCAGAGAATAAAGGCAGAAAGGCAACGCCAGAGGTCACCCTGAGCGCCAGGCCCCGTGTGCACCAGGCACCCACCCAGGGCCCCCACTGATCAGCTTCCCAATCTGAGGGGGTCCCAGGAGGGTCAGCAGCAGCAGGTGGGAGGAGCCCCTACCCCACAGCAAGGGAGCAGGTCCAGGCTGGCAGGAGCGCAGTCTCTTTTCTGTTGTAAATAACTCATCTCTGGTCCAAGACCAGCGGGCCCCACCCTCCCCCAGAGGTCCCAGAACAACCGTGAACACATTTCATTGGTCAGATTTCATCTACCTCTTCAGGTCACCCAGAGACTCCAGACTTTAAGGTCAAGTCTAGGGCGCATCTCCAGGCCCGTCCCACAATTCCTTCAATGGGTAAAGTGCGGATTTACATACAAAAAGATGACAGCCTAGAACCCAGAAGGCTCAGATGACAGCCTAGAACCCAGAAGGCTCAGATGACAGCCTAGAACCCAGAAGGCTCAAGTGCTGGACATTCAGCTCTGGCAAACCCGTCCAGTCCTGTCCTGCGACCTGGGCCCCTCTGGGCAAGTCCGTCTGCTGCCGAGCAACAGGGGCTCGTTGGCCTCTCACCCCGCTCATCACCAGCAGAGGTCGGAGGGGCTCAGAAGGGGGTCATCCTCCCTGCAGAAACTGGAAAAGAGAGTTCAGAAGTTTGTCTGTTCCAGGAATGAGCTGAAGCCTTGCACCATGTTTATCGACTTCACAGCACTCGTTACCCCTCTCAGTCAGGCTCTGACCGATGAGCACAGCCCAAGGTGCTTCCCGGTCTCAGGCAGCCCCGTCCCTGCCTTGGCTCTGTCTTGCCTGCCTCTCCCGGTTCGCCTATAGGAGCCCTAACAGCCGCCACATTTCACTGGTCACCAAGTCGCATCAATTCTTCCTCCATCGGGCTTCTCCCCATTACTTTCCTCCCTTTCTTTTCATAACAGACAGGCGACCGCTTGGACCTGCATCAGAACCCACACTCGGATCCTGTAAGCAGACACCAGCAGTTTGAACGTCTTGGAAGCCCATCTGTTTTGCGTGGGTCCACACATCACTCTCGCCTCTCCCTCTGGGCTGCAGGCCCTCTGTGGACAGGGACCCGCCCCCCTCCCTGGATCCCCAGCACTAACACCTCGGAGACCGCGTTACTCAGACACCTCACAGAGCACACAACGAGCAATCGATGAAAAAGTGTTCGCAAGCCACCGTGAAGGCTGGCAGACGCCTGTGCCCTCCCACTGTGACACAGGAGCCTCTGGGTAAATAAGTCCCGGCGCTGATGGCGCTGACGTTCCTCTCCCGTAAGGACAGGAGCGGGAGGAAGTGGAGCCAGGGACAGAGGCCAAAACTCTTGGGAGCTGTGACAGGCCTGTCACTAACTCGGGCCTCCTTGCTGAGCACACCCCTGGCCTCGCCCCTCCTGCCTCGGGTTCATGCCAAGTCCTTCTCAGAGAACATCACTGAGTCCAGAGGCCTCCAACTCCAGCAAGGACAGAGGCAAGAGAGAGAATGTCGGCTCCAGTGTCCCCCCCCACCTCACCCCAGCGCTCCTGCCCTCACCCCAGCGCCCCAGCCCTCACCCCACACCCTCACCCCTCACCCCAGCGCCCCAGCCCTCACCACAGCGCTCCTGCCCTCACCACAGCGCCCCAGCCCTCACCACAGCGCTCCTGCCTGTCACCACTGCCTGAGAGCCCTGTGGCTTTGAACCTGGAATGAGAACAATAGGAGGAGCTGCCCAAGCTCCAGGAAGACTCTCAGCCTCTGCGGCCGGGCCGCCGTGGAGCAAGCCCAGGAGGAAGCAGCCCCTGCTCCTGCCACGGAGGCTCGGCCGGCAGCGCTACAAAGGGAGCCAGAGCCAGGGCTGCAGCGCAGAGAGCTCAGACCAGGGGACAGGGAGAGGAGGGAAGTCATCCTTCCGAGCACCTACAGGACAGGACCCTGGCGGCACCCCCATTTTACAGAGAAGAACGAGGCTCACGGGTGCCCGATGAGTGCGCTCTGCAGACAGGCGGAGTCCGCACAGGACCGCTCTGCCTGGCTGAGCCCATCTGCTCCTTCCATGACACCCCACAGGGAGGCTGTCAGCCGTCCTCATTCTGCCTGCCACCACTCTCCAGCTTTCAAAGCACCCGTCCCCGGAGTCCCTAGAGCAATCCAAAAAGCCTGGCCACTGGGTGCCTTCCCACCACTGCCCGGAGCCCTTGGTCTCATCTCCCTCCTCTCTTCTTCACCCTCGGCCTGAGGCAGGGTCCTGACCGCTCAGAGCCCCTGCTGGTGGCACCGGAGCTCCCTGTTCTGGGCTAACTCGCTGCTGTACAGGTCGATTTGCAGGAGTGTTTCCTTCCTGTGCCCTATGGCCAGCGGCCTCATCTGAGCAGCATGATGCAAGATGGGGCTGCCCCAGACACTGACCTTCACCCCCTCTTACTGCCAGGCAGCTTTCTTATGTGGACGGGGGAGGGGCCTGGGCACGGAGAGACCAGTGGCTCCTTGGCCCTCAGAAACGGGCAGAGGCGACAGGTGGTCAGGGCTCCTCTGAAAGCACCAAGCAGCCACCTGCGGGCGGGACAGAGCCTCGAGCCTGAGGAGCAGTCGGCCGTGAGGCATCACCGCCCGTCCTTGGCCAAAGTCATAAAGTATTGGCAGCTGCAACTCGTTTGCTTTTCATTTTAGAAAATGGACTGAAGCAAGTTCAAGAGTAGCCAGGCCCATCGGCCCAGCCACAAGGGTTCCCCTGTGCTTCCTCGCGTGAGAGAAGGAGCGCGAGTGCACAGACCCAGGTGTGCCCAGGAAGAGGGATGGCGGCAGACGAGCCTTATCCGCCACGAGGCCATCGGGAGGGTATGTCACTGTGGGTCACAAGTTGGACAGTCAGGAGCTCTGAGAAGGAAAGGCAGGCGGGAGGCAAGAGCCAGAGCCAGCTGCCCTCTCACCCCACAGCTGACCCTCAGTGACACTTTCGCTTCCCTAGACACATCTACACCACCAGCCCCGGGCTTCTCGGCCCCACAAGTTCTGGAAGCCATCTGCTCAGCTCTGGGTAAGATGAAGTTCTCCTGGGGCCACGACTGACTCAGCACCTCCTGAGAAAGGGGTGGTCCAAGAAGGGCTGGTCATATGCACGGGAGCCCCAAGCCTTCTCCCAGGCCCTCCCGAGCTCCCCTCATTCCCCATGCGGCAGGCTCGTCCCCACGATGCAGGCTCGTCCCCAGGCCGCAGGCTCGTCCCCAGGCCTCAGGCTCATCCCCACTCTGCAGGC